TGGTCCTCGGGCGCGCTGCGCGTGCGCACTGGCAGCACCGCCCAGCGGGAGTTGTAGTTTCTGATTCGTCCCCATCAACGCAATGGCGGGGGCGATGGACTACGACTCCCAGGAAGCGTCGCGCGGGCGAACCCCAAGTCCGGGGACGCGGAGAGTGCGGCGCCCGGCCCTCTCCGGCAAGGACTGTCAATGGAGGCGCGGGTGGTGGGATCGAGAACATGGCTGCACCTGGGGCCTGCGCGGCCGCTCGGGTGGGGGAGGGGAGCCGGGGCTCAGGGGCGAAAATCTAGGCTGATGATAGTTCCAGCCTGCTCCCTGCGGCGCTCCAGCCCCCTCAGCTGCTGTCCAAGACTGGCACTTACTCTTGCACGCGAGATTCTCTGCAAATTGGGAAGCCAGAACACGGGAAAGTCCGGGGAGCCTCAGGCCGGCCTGCCGGCCTCCGTGCTCCGCTAGGAGAATTCCTCTGCCCTGCACCACCCTCTGGGACACAAAGAACTATTCGTTTTGAAAGCTTACCTCAAAAGAGAATGTTGCTCCAACTTTGGACGGGCAAGGGGAAAGGACGCTTCTGTTTCTATTTACCTCCCCGAAGGCTGCTCAAGCTCTCACTCGACATTTAAAAAGAAAGTTGAGGAAAAGCCATGGAATGAGAGCAGAAAACCTGATTTGTAGCCCGTTTTATTCTGTCAACCGCTGAGCAATTTTACTCAAATCCATCCCCCAGGTTATTTTTTGCTTCTCAACTTTCATTAGCTCATGAATTTTGAAAATGCTGAGACATTACTGTTCACTTAAATTAAACTCAAAAGTTTAAAACACTCGAGCCTAAAGATTTTAGATGTGTATGTAAAGCACAAAATGGAGTAATTTTGTAGTTTTTTCCTCACCGGAGATTCCAGCCAGGGAAGCTATTCGATCTCCCTTTTTTCTTCCCTTTCTGTAAGTGGCGACTACATCGCCTTTTCCAGCCTCTGTTGCTGGCAAGAAAACTTTGCAACAGCCAGTCTTTTGATGTACAGTAATCCCCCCTTATCCGCGGGAAATAAGTTTCAAGACACCACCCCACCTCCAGTAGATGCCAAAACTGCTAATAGGACTGAACTCTATAAATACACTATGTTTTCCTATACATACATACCTTCTTCCTCCTTATTCAACTTAACTCTGCAGGAAATGTGGCAGTAGCTTCTTCATCAGCAGAAATATCCTCTACAGTAATTTTTGTGTTTCTCAGTCCAAACCTATTGCTGAATCTGTGTAACCATCCCTTACTTGTAGTAAATGGCTTGGTGTCATTCCTTTCACAGGATTCCTTGAAGTCGTCATATAGGCTCAGTGCTTTCTGGCACAACATGCTGCCATCAACCGGGACATAGTTCCTCTTCATGTCTTCCACCCACAAACTTAATGCATTTTCCATCTTAACTAAGCACTTATCACGCACTGTGACCGTAACTTTTGCAGTTTGAGGTGCCACAGCAAAACTAGCACGAATTTCTTTTTCCTTCTTCACAATTTCACGGATAGAAGATTCGTTCTTACTGTAGATCTTGGCAACCTCAGCATAAGATTTTTTTTCTTTCCTTATTAAGTCAAGAATTTTCACCTTTTCACTTGAAGCACTTTATGGCTTCTCGTTGGCATATTCGAATTGCCAGCATCACTACTCTTGTTCTTTGGGGCCATTATCAAGGAAAACAAGGGTTACTTGAACAAGCACTGCGATACCCAGACAGTCTATCTGATAACAGAGACTGAGACGGCCACTAAGTGACTAATGGGCGGGAGTGTCTACAGTGTGGCGACGCTGGGGAAAACATTGGGAGAGGGTTAGAAAAGTGAGTTGTTAAGACAAAAGTTCATTTAGTCAAGATTACCCTTGTCATCATTAAAACGTTGGGTGATAGTCCCGCTTCTTTGAATATGTTTAACACTTGGAGTGAAATTTTGCTGCTGCTTCACAACCAACTTCAACTTTTTTGATGTTGAAGCAGTTTCTAAAGCTGTTACATTATAAAGCAGTTCCTAAAATTTCAGCTGGCTTTGAATTGCCTCTAGACAGAAAGTTGGCCCTTTTGGGACAATGAACAGTATATGGATCTGTGCATGGTTTGAAATGCATGTGGAGGCCAAGGCTTTTTCTCAGTGTGCTGCTATTGACAGGTCTGTAGTCATAAATGTCATGCTTTTTCAGTCTTCCCTAAGGCCTGGCCCACTACCCTTATTGGCACATTTGTTGCTATTCGTTAGCCAATTTCTCCCTTACCTCATTGGTACAAATGCTTTGTTAATTGTAATCATAGTTATAAGCCACTTCGGATACTATCTCTCAGGTCAGCCAATTATTCTTCCTACACAGGATCATATTGATGTCTTTTGGGTTGAGGAACAGATGAAAAAAATTATTGTTTTGTGTTTAGGAATAATGTAGTATGAAATCTTCCTTTGTTTAAAACACATTCAGGCTACTTTTTTTAGAATAACATTAAACATAACAAGATGTTGTTCCAAGACCGAGATTGCAGAAAGAGCAAATTTGCAGCTCTTTACTCATTCTCACTTAAGACATAACTGCACAGAGCCAAACAGCTGGCAGAATCTTGCACATTATTTATTTCAAATTATTTAAAATATTTTTCTTGTTGAACCTAGTATATGAAATCCTGTAGATGAGTGTTCATATAATATGACACCTCCATTCTATTGTATACTTGGGAGACAAAAACAAAATCGAAAGGGCCTAGGCCAGGCTAGAGGTGTTTCTAAACCAAGTGTGAGCTCTTTCACCAACTCAAATGCATCTTCACATAGACTGAACTTACAGCTTTGTTGACTGCTTTTAAATAGCAAGTGATCTGGTGGTATTTGAATGTCTTCATCAGTCCTAAAGAATAATCACCTTCTCCTTGAGTTCTTAATACTTGGTATCAGGAGTGGACCTTCTCCATTATCATGTGACCCACACATGCTGACAAAACCACACTTTACACACTCGGTCAAAGTTATAGTTGTTGAGATTATTTAGTGCTCTTTTTAAAGATGCTCGTTTGAATTCAAACTGAATAATTGAATCTTTTTGTCACTCTGTCGTATATTTTAAATTGCCCAAAACCATATTTCTAGCAAAAGTTGAGATACTCTTGACACAATTATTTTTCTCAATGCATCTAGTCTTTTGATGAAAAGTAAACAGAGATCTTTTTTTCTCATAACTGCTCGATGAAGGCCCCAAATTTTCTAAGTCCAATTTCTTGAGCTTCTTTACAGTATATATCAATGGTCTCCAAACTTTTTGGCACCAGGTACTGGTGCTCCTATGAGAATTTAATGCTCAATGATCTGAGGTAGAGCTGAGGCTGTCATGCTAGTGCTGGGGCACTGCTGCAAATAGAGATGCAACTTTGCTCAGTGGCCCACCACTCGCCTCCTGCTGTGCGGCTTGGTTCCTAACAGATTGAGGACCTCTTGTATTCATAGTACAGTATATATAGAGAATGGGATGTCAAATATATACCATTTGTAAGATAGCAGTTTGATCTTTTAGATCAGTGTTCCCAATTAGGATTTGCATGCCCAGTCCCTATCATATGGATAGGGCCACAGTGACATGACATCTTTAGCTGTCGGATAATGTCTGCATTCTAGGAGGTAATACCTTTTTTATTACAAGGATGCTTTTCTAACTGATTATAAAACACTGTTTTTGAACAGCTTTTTTGTTTGCATAATTTAATATTTGGATAGTTAGAAACTTGGATAAATGACCTTTTACATACTTTTCCAAAGGTGGGGAAAAAAACTAAATCCAAGTTATAATTTATTCATAATAATTAATAATGTAGATGTGATCTAAATAGACCTTCCAGCTCTTCCTATGCCTTTTGTACAAACATCTGCCCTATGCAGTAAACCTAATATTCATGTAACACCAATCAAACAGTTTTATCAGATTTAGATTTAGATTATCTTCTATTTGGTATTCGTTAATATTGCTGTAATTGTGTAAGTTAATTTTTAAAAAGTAAAATATCTATTATTTCCTCTGCCTCCTTTCAGACACTTTGGGGGATCAGATGATATGTAAATAAAAATACTTTAAAAACTTAATTAAATGTTATATAAATGTCAGATGGGAATATAGTGCTCTTTTTAAAGATGCTCGTTTGAATTCAAACTGAATAATTGAATCTTTTTGTCACTCTGTCGTATATTTTAAATTGCCCAAAACCATATTTCTAGCAAAAGTTGAGATACTCTTGACACAATTATTTTTCTCAATGCATCTAGTCTTTTGATGAAAAGTAAACAGAGATCTTTTTTTCTCATAACTGCTCGATGAAGGCCCCAAATTTTCTAAGTCCAATTTCTTGGGCTTCTTTACAGTATACATCAATGGTCTCCAAACTTTTTGGCACCAGGTACTGGTGCTCCTATGAGAATTTAATGCTCAATGATCTGAGGTAGAGCTGAGGCTGTCATGCTAGCGCTGGGGCACTGCTGCAAATAGAGATGCAACTTTGCTCAGTGGCCCACCACTCGCCTCCTGCTGTGCGGCTTGGTTCCTAACAGATTGAGGACCTCTTGTATTCATAGTACAGTATATATAGAGAATGGGATGTCAAATATATACCATTTGTAAGATAGCAGTTTGATCTTTTAGATCAGTGTTCCCAATTAGGATTTGCATGCCCAGTCCCTATCATATGGATAGGGCCACAGTGACATGACATCTTTAGCTGTCGGATAATGTCTGCATTCTAGGAGGTAATACCTTTTTTATTACAAGGATGCTTTTCTAACTGATTATAAAACACTGTTTTTGAACAGCTTTTTTGTTTGCATAATTTAATATTTGGATAGTTAGAAACTTGGATAAATGACCTTTTACATACTTTTCCAAAGGTGGGGAAAAAAACTAAATCCAAGT